CGAGTTATAATTGAAAATAGTTTGCTACTTACGAGTTCGATACAACGGACAGGCAGGGACGGTGCAATGCGTCATGAGACGATAGCAAACATTTGACAGTCTCATTATACGTTGCGCGTCCCTGCCTGCCCGTTGTACCGAACTCGTAAGTTGCTACCTATTTTCAATTATAACTCGAAAACTAAGATTCGGACAAAATTTTGTAAAAGGAAAAATCGTCTCAGATTTCGCTCAAGAATATGGCATTGCAAGGACATCAGGTTATTTTGAATCACCCTGTATTTAATGAATGTACATAATAACTTTTAACATAATAATTATAACTGCTGTGTAACAGCATGCTGCTATTTTAACATTAATTACATTATTTTTACATAATAAATATATAATTGCTGCGTATGCGGATTTTAAATGCCTAACAATTTTCACACTGCAAATTTAGTAATTATTTTAATTAGCTTCCATATCGTCAAAACTGCCAAAGTTTGTTGTTACATCATGCTGTTTCCATTGTTAAAAATTGGACATTGCTAGTTTTAATAATCAAGGGTCTCTGAGGAGCGTGCGTCGGTTTTTGCCGTTCTACTTCTATATTTAATCCTTTTCTCCCTGTTGTCCTGTAGCCAATACTAATAGTAGAACCAAGGAAATAGTGGTAATACTTTAATTAATTTAGACGTGGTCTTGCTTTCTTCTACATTAGCCACCTTAACATGAGTGTTAACCACATTTTTAAGGCCTCTTGCGTCCAATACCTTTGCGGTCATTGGATTATCAGTAAGTGTAGGCTGCAAATAAAGTGTCAGTCATATTAATAACGGCATCAAAAATTATATTAGAATAGTTGTAATATTAAATATAAAAAATATTCGTACAAAAAGTAAAAATAGCAAGGCATAAATACGATTTATGTATTAAACATTAAAATTATTGCAAGCAAAATAAAATATGAAATAAAATCTGGTAAAAAAATAACGAAAATTTTCCAGACTATATAAAGCGTGCGATAAGAAAGATAATTATAAGATTAATCGAACTATAAATTTTTACATTGGTGTGATCGTAAATCAGACTTATGTGAATTATTATATTGAAACAAACACACACATCCAACATAAGCAGAGAGAGAATCGTGTTATTAAGATAATCATTTACCTTCTTAATCTCTTTTTTAAAAACGAGATAATCGTCTTCCTGACGTTCACCTAAAACAAGATCGTCTGCTATTACGTGGACGGTCATAAAAAGGCACAGAATCACAGGAAGTAAAGCACGCATCTTGTAAAGTTAATTGTAGACCGACGTATCAGTTGAAATCACACTGCTTCCCTAATGAACGGCAAATGCATTTATAGCTTCACGTTATCAATTCTCCTTGAAAAATATTACGTGTTATTGTATACAATCTTAACAAGTGTTGACATTGTAAATCTGCATCCGCTTGTTGGGGAATCTGCAAAACAATATTTTTCAATGACGCAAGAAAAAGTTTTAAAAGAATTAACGATTTGAGTTTCTCTAACCAGCTAACATTATCCTCTCATTCAAATCATCGATTTGAAAAGCTCAACTCAACTCTAGACATCAATCCATAATAAACGAAGTATCTATCATTTTGTTACTATATTGTTTGTCGCGTTTACGATACCTTTTTTTAATATTTTCCTTAAAAACTGCGTGCATTTATGTGATTTTAAAATTCGAGCTTTTTTCCTCTCGATCTGCAGTCATCAAAGAGTCTCTGTATCGTTCGTCCGTATTTCGATGTAAAACGAGCAAACGGCGTTAGAAATGCACTCGTTTCACATTCGTTGTACCGAGTATCATCGAGTTAAGGATATCATGTCGTGAGTGGCTTCTTTGCAAATAAATTGCGGATTATCGACGATACGAGACTAGCCGATACAAGAGATTTAAATAAGTAAATATAAATATAAATGCGCGGATGTGTAGATTTATTGATTTTTATAGTTATATGTTAACTGGTTATATTATAACCAATTTTCCGTATTTTTCTTATATATAATTATATATAATATAATTTTTTATTTTTTTCTTACTTTCTTTCTTATCTTTCCATTACTTCACGTTGATTTAGTTGCGTAATAACAAACAAGAAAGCGACGGAAAGATAACAGATGTTCAATAAGTTTTTATATTAATGCAACAAAATATAATAAACTGATAAATAAATTAGATAAGAGAGATAATATAATTTATGTGTAATGAATTGCATGGTATTTTTCGTTTTTTCAAGTTATTACGTAATTATGAGTCAAATAAATGTAATGTAATCGAAGGATAGCATAAAAAGAGGCCGTGAGAAAAAAAGGAAAAAAAAAAAGAATATTGAAATTCAACTATAATCGTAATACGCAGTTCCGTAATATCAAAGTTAAAACAGTTATTTGAGGTGCTAAGTCATGTGATTTATTCTTTATATCAGCATATTCAAGCGACGCGACGCTAAGTAAATTTGATAAGACGCAACCAGCATTTAAAATTCCCCGAAATTTCTCATATTTTGTAGAGCACGGTTTCTTAAAATATTCTGCTGCGTATTAAAGTCTAATATTGATTTGATTTATGTACGTGTTTATCAAAAAATTGCCACATATATTTTTACTTATAATTCTATAAAAAATTATAGGAGCGTTATTCTTTTCATACAATCTTACTTTTATTACATGTATGTGATATAATTGCTACATATTCAGATCATAAATTAGATATTTATAACAATTTTCTTCTACATTAACAACCAAATTATTAATTTCTATTGGCTTCTACGTTTTCAAAGCTGTTCCGTTTATTATCGCCATCGTTTCGAATGTATTGTTGCCATTACCATTATCGATATACTGCTGCTTTTATCACTCGTTTTCTTCATTATCAGATGCATCAGCGACAGTGGTTGGGCTTGGAGTCGTTGGGTTTGGAGTCGTTGGGTTTGGAGTCGTTGGGTTTGGAGTCGTTGGGTTTGGAGTCGTTGGGTTTGGAGTCGTTGGATTTGGAGTCGTTGGATTTGGAGTCGTTGGGCTAGGAGTTGTTTGGGCGTCTGAGCCGTAAACTTTCACGGACACTGCTAATATTCCTCGAGATTGTGCTTCAACTCTTAATGCTAAAAATCGTTCACCAATTTCACCCTTAAGCACTGTAACTGTGGCTTTGTTTCTTTTAATATTCAACTTAACCTGGGTGATAACTTTATTTTTTCTTAAAGTCACGGGGATTGTAATCGTCGCAGGATGAAATGGTGAAAGCTATAATATGTAAATGTAATTTTAATTATATTAACCATAAAATAGCAATATTAAAAATGATATTAAATATAAGAAACTATTAATAAAAATTATCGATATACATATATATAATTCAAACATAAACATAATTTATGCGCTAAACATATAAAAAGTTACTGCAGCAAGTAAAAAGCATATTATAAAAAAGAGCATCACGAGACTTATCGAATCATAAATTTATACTTTTATGCTTAAGCAGGTATAGTAAACCGGGCATAAATTACGATATACATACATATGAATCCAAATATATGAGATTATATTACTAAAAAAACGATTACTTACCCTTAGATACTGTTTTGTATAAATAAGATCATCGTTTTCTTTTCTTTCGCCTAAGACAAAATCATTGTTTGCCGAGTCATCGCTTGCCGAGTTATCGCTTGCCGAGTTATCGCTTGCCGAATTATCGTTTGCCGAATCATCGTTTGCCAATACACAGAGAGCCATAAAAAGGCACAAAATTATGGAAGGTAACACGCGCATCTTGCAAAGTTACTTATTGATTTCGTGTATTAAGTTAAACTCATACTGTTCGTCTAATTGATCGGCGAGCACATTTATACCTCCGCGTTATCATTTTCTTGGAAGGATGGCATATATCATTGCGCGACAAGCGTTAATAATTCACATCTGTTGTTTATCCAATTTGCTTGTTAAAACATACTTGGTAGGAAATGTTTTTTAATACGCAACAGTTCTCGAATTTAAACCTTGCAGCTAATAATATTTCTTTATTCAGTTCACCGATTTGAAAACGATCTCTTATTTAAATATCAATTCAACTCAGGACATTCATTATTGCGTTATCGAAGGTTACATTGATAATATTTTTTAAAAATTTCTTAAAATTTCTCTTAAAAATCGCGTATATGTGATGTCAATACCCCGTTTATGAATATGAAATTTTTCTTTTATTTCTCCGAGTTATTGATACGCTAATGAAATCAACATTACAAAAATGGCACGCGAGTATTGCAAGCTTTGAGAGCTTTTGATCGAACCCGATGAAATAGTATCGACAAAAATCGCAAACGTTCGAAGCCATTAAAGCTAATAGTATTCATCAGGAAGGCTTATCGAAATTGCTACCGGGGACCTGGGAATATTCGGCTCCGAAAGGAGTAATTCCGCAGACTACTCCCTCGCTTTCGGCATAGGAGCTGTAAATTCGATCAATCCAATCATCACGCACTCCCTTCAGCAAATGACCCGTGCTATTACGCGCAACGGCACATTGCGTCGCGACGCGTCCAGTGCGCGCTATTCCATTTTAATAAAAGTGGAACGCTTTCGGGTTCGCTCGAGAATGAATTCCGCGCGTACTTTTGCTTGATCGAACGCTACGCTCGCGGAAGCACGCTCGTCTCAACCTGCGAACGAAAGCTCACGCGTCGAAGCGCGGCTTTCGGCACGGCCTAGATGCTGGTGGTTGCATGCGGGAATGCGGCGCGAAAAAATAGACGATAAAAAAGGAGCGCGTTGCGGGAAATTGCAGGCCCAGAAGAAGGATATGGAGGAATGGGGGGGGGAGGGGGCGGAGAGGAGGATACTATAAAAGCGCTCGCGCTGTGCTGGGAAGCACTGAATGCGTCTAGACAGTTCCACTTCACGCAATGAAAACACCGCAAGCATCTCCGCGCTGATGTAAAGTTTCATTATTTACAGCCGCGCCGCCCGGCGCATATCTCCTATGTATCTTAACGTTTTTTTCCTTTCTTCGCCGCAACTCGAGTTTCCTCTCGCGCTCGACCACCGCCGACCGCTTTCTCACGTCTTCTTTGTGAGCGCGTCACTCTCGACGCTTTTGCGCCATCGCCACCTTTCAATCGCTCGGGAAAGAGGGACTTAATGTCAATCTCGTAACATCTCGCTTTAGCGATGCGTAATGCCTACGTAAGGCGCGGAAGTTGAAGAAATCAAATAGCCTCGAGTAGTCTCCGCGCTTTAATTTCACGTTCAAGTATCAAAATGTTTAATGTTGAGTATTGAAAAAGTGCGCTCTTGAGAGCACACTCTACGACGTTACGTTTCCCAGGAGAAACTCACCGCGATTTTATCAAACAGTCATTAAAACCAAAAGTCGAAAGTTTTCGGGAAATCTCGCATGTAACTTTATTGACGAGGAGGCGAAATTTACCGGCGCGAGCGAATTCAGTTATGGCTCGGGTCGGGAAAACTTCGGGAAATCCCATTGCGCGCGCTGAGAACGATGGCGCGGCATCCCGCGCGCGATTCGTCCTGACGAAAATCCCTCCGTAAGGACGAGTCGTTCCCTAAGTGCCGCGGATTCGAAGGCGCGCGCCCGGCGCTCATGAAAATACGTGTAATTTGCAGGTCGTAGAAAGTTCGACTATTTGTCACCGTCTCGCTTGATGCATTTTTGTAATCTAAGTTCTTTTTACACCCCGCGCTTCCTCGTTGTCTCCCATCGTGTCACATTGTTATCCGCGGTGATATTTCGTTGGAAGTGGGATGCGTGTATGACTCGGGCGGGAAACATTTTGCGCACTGCGTACGAAATACTTCACGCGCGGTGGTATCGGCGTACACGGTGACGTAATCGATCAGATTTCCACCGTGTTGTGTCGCGCGCATCCTGATTTATTGTGCAATTTGATGGATCAGCTTACCTTTTCCAAATTTCCTTCAAAATTAATAAAAACAATTAATAATTATTGTTTATCGCGGCGAGAATTCAGACACACGCCGCTGTTCGAATTTTAACGATACGAGAGTTATGCAGAGTAAACAGAATGAAAGATATGGGAAAGAGGTCGCGTGTATTATTTAAGATTTAGAGAATTTATGACGTTTCTGTGAAATTATTCATTACAGCTACATAGAAGTAGCACGAAAATATGCAAAAACGATCGGATATTTTCTGACTACTGTAAAGTTTTATTATTTCCCACGGAGATGCGCCGTGCACCTCCGCAATATGACTCCTTTTCCTCTTCTTCCGCTTCGTTTTCATTCTTCCGGCTTTACTTACCCACTATTGCCGTTCTGTCAGTTCCTTTTCAAATGCGAAAGCTGGTATTCCGGATTCCTTGTGCGCTGCGGGGACTGCAATGTCGTTGTGCATAGAAAGAGTTCAGAAATCCGCTGAGAATGAATATTCTTCAGGCAATGGACATTTTTCTCGGCCTGCACGCGAGTTCCCTAGCGATTTATTCAGAACATTCAAGTTTCTTTTTCATTGATATAATATGTATGTTTGTAACGTGATTCGGGATTGATCAGTCTTTGCAGTCGGCGAATAAGATTGAAATATTATCGACAAGATGGGCTGGTTATAAATAAAATTCGATATGTCATCAAAATTTGAGTATAATATGCGATCTCGATGATGAATATTTCGCAAATATTCAAGATTATTTTCGTCGATACGAGTCAAGATTTGCATAGAAAAAGATAAGAGAATCTGCAGGTGATTAATTAATGAACTTTAATTAATGTTTTAAAACGGTTAATAATTTTTAGACTAATTTGAATTGCACAAAACAAGTTATAAGAAAATCGACCGCTCTAATTTAAATATTGTACATCCGACTGAAGCCTGACAGAAAAATCGAAGTTCCATTGGAATAAGACCAATTCGCTGGCAAAGCCACGCAAGGCGTTTCCAACCAAATGCGTCCATCAATTATGTACAGCTGAGATGCACTTTGGTCAGACCGCACTGCTCGCAAAAATCGCCAGGGTGAATGTGATCGTCATGAAAACGGCACGTGTACTTCATGCAGACGCGGGTTTTTATTATTCACCATAACATCGCGGAATGTGCCGTTGCGTGAATTCTCTTGCCTCCTCCGCAATCTTTTCCTTGTTTTGCGCGATCCCTGCGCTTGAATAAAAACATTTCTTCCTTCGCCCGCGCTTTATTAGCTATTTTTGGCCACAGTCCACGTAACTGTAATAATCTCATTAATTTAATGTAATTTTACAATTAGCAATTTTTTCGCAATATCCTTATTCAATTTTTGACTACAAACGACAGTTGCGTGAGCGTAAAAAAATACAAAATTAAGCCGAAACGAAAATGTGTACGTTCCTGCTTTTTTTAATTCACGTAATGGACGCACCATACGTTATTATTTGAAGTCTATCTTTTTTGAAGTCCTGCGTTTGTCGTATTATTATATCACGTATTTCTCAATTAATATCGTCAATCTTTTACTACATCAAATATTTTCGCTATTTTGTAAGCAAAGCTTGTCTTTAAATGAATATATTTTCAATAACTAATACTGTTCTTGTCTATGCAATCTTAGAAATAATAAGTATATTGTATGGAAACACAATTTTCTCCATCGATCGAGGCGCTCATCGATATTCAAATAAATGAAGACTGCGATTTCGAGCGCGCTGCTTGCTCGAAGAGAAGATAAGTTGGTGACATATTTGAAGAACCTGCGTACTCCGTTATCGATCGGAATGATCGTAAGAATACAGATGAATGGTCGTTGGTTCTTTGTTACCTACTTGACCTCCTTTTCCGCACGACGTTCTTTGTAACGATTCCCGGCGACGTGCCACCAGCAACAGGAAGGACGTTTTATGGGAAAACGTTTTACGACCTGCTCGTCGAAAGCGCAAAGGCGAGGAACGTCTGCGTGGGGAGGCCAAAGATGAAAGAAGGGGTTTGTGAAGATGGCATGGAATGAAAGCCATTCGATTTCTCGATTCTTCGTGAGTTTCTTTTAATTCTTGCGGAGACCTCCTTTTGCAATGTTTTTGCCCCGCGGCTCTCTCAAGTTGAGATACAAGATTCAATCGAGATATATCAGTATTTGTCAATAAAATAGCACATTTTCGTGTTCACTTTTAGTGCTCTCACCGTTTCTCTTTTAATACAAAGAAACAAGAACAGTATGTGTTTTTGTAATATGTTTTAATGTCATATCGCTATTTCGACAGCAAAAATGGAGAAAATCAATTCTCCAATCGCGTACTAGATTATTTGCAGCGCTTCAAACAGCTTACGAGCTTTGCGATTTAGATCAGAGAAAATGTTATGTATTCACAGTTAGAGTATGCATAATTAAGCATCTGGCATTAAGCTCCTAATCACTATGTGCTCATAAACGAATTTAATTATGTTGAACATATTTGCATTACTGTATATATATATATGTATATATGTATATAATAAGTGTTCAATAGGATTTTCGGATAATCACATATAATCGCGGAAAAGCACGGAAGCGCACCGTTTATGAAATTTATCCCGGTCGGAAGTTTACTTACGATCCAAAGTAAAATTTACTAGCGTAAGTAACACAACCGTGCATGTGGATAATAGAATCGCATGCACTGCCGTGTGTAGAGCACGATGTAGTTTATATGTACATACACTCCACTTTACGTATATTACATTCCATTGTATTATGTTGGACCATGTCGGATATTTGCAACATAGTTCTTCATGGTGTTCTTGTCTTAACATGAGTTTGCAGTTCGCGTAAAAGTCAAACATAGCGGCGTTACCATAGAATATTTCGCACAGAAATACCGTAAGTGTGTGTTATTCCAATGCAATCA